GCCTGATATGTAGCAGTGGCAGTTGTATTATCAGGCATTTCAAAAAAGAAAAAAAGACGAAAAAGAATATGGGTTAAAAAATGGTTACGTGAGAGAAACAAATACACAGTGGCAAATTCACTACAAGAAGTAAAGGTCGACGAACCAGATCTCCCAAAACTCACGATCTTCCATGTTGGAAACGAGTGGAAACGACACTGTTTATATGTTGATACCACGATACATAATAGCTTTGTTCGGGTTCTTGTTATTACCGATTCTGAACCGTCCTAGAACTCTGCAGCGCATGCGTAAATGAGATAATGTCTTCATATTTCCTTTTGCGCATACGCATCACAGTTCTAGGACGGTTCAGAATCGGTAATAAGAGAAACCCGAAGTAAGCTAATAACATCACCATATACGTTGCGACAAGTATCAGTTGCATGCGTTTGGTATCGAAGTTTCACTACATTGATACGGAGACGGCGATACCATCCGATACCGATACAGCGATACTGAGACAGACAAATACACTGAGATTTGTGTCAAGATACTGATACTTGTAACATGTATCGATACCGATCTCAACGTGAATGGGGCCCTTTAAAATCAATGTTAAGCTTGTAGTCTTTGGTTAAGCTTTACAAAAACGCCTCACATGATTAGCCTCTTTAGTGTTAAATTACGCCAATCCCAAATGTCCAAAAAAACAAAATCTTAAAAATAAAGAAGCTGTCTAAAAATGTGCTACGATACGGGTATATTATAATCCTTTATCTTTAATTTCCTTCTTGATTTGTGTAAAAATATCTAGCCAGTTTTACATAAAACGATAAATGCCGAACGCTTATTTTGCTACTTTTTCAGACTAGCGAATCTTCAGGAAAAAGTATTCAATGTAGCCGTTAAGGGTTAATTTTCGTCAGTTTTCTAGAGGGCCTCCTGTTTTTCCCGAGATGCAAAACTTTTAGATTAAACTTTATGGTCTTTGATAATAAAAGCAGTGGATTTACGAGCGCGAGACTGTACCTGAAAAGTACTGCCACAGTACTGCCATTGTAACTCGTACCCTGACAGGTACCACGAACCGAATTCGAGACGGAGATTATTGACATTTATTGCGTACCTTTTTCTGGTTTGGAACTTCTTTTCCCGTAAAACAGCGGTTAAAGGTCGTGATAGACAAACTTGACCAGTAGCTGGGTCAGTTGTCAATTTTTGACCTTTACTGTCCCCCAATAAACGCATAAACCCGGTGTGATTGAAGTCTCTTTTCAATATTAGTTGCCGTTTTATTTGTTTGTTGTTTATTTTTTAATTGCATGCCATATTTTTAATTACAGGGAATCTCTTCTTTTTATATTACTTTATTAGTTAAATTGCCACTATAGTCTGTCCAACGACAAGATCGTTGACAGTGATAGATGTGTCTGTCATTTTAATTTCAAAGTAGTTTATTTTATTTTACAAAGAAATAAGTTGGTACAACTGGAATGCATACCAGGATATTAATAAGTGAACTTCAAAAAATTATGAAAAAAAACTGTAATCGAGTTATTTTACTTAAAAAAAAGGCATGTGTTTAATACAAAACAAACAAAAACAAAACGCCACATACCAAAATATATAAAAAAGAACTATTTCGTACTTTCAAGCTTCAAGAAACTTCCAGCATTTATTATTATATTTATCAATTTAACTTATGTACAAATACAAATTTGTTATATTCCGATATTCCACAGGAATAAATAAAACCACATAGATAAAACAAACTATTTTGTTAATAACAACACTTACAAAATTTTATACCTTAAAGGTTGATTATTTAATTTTAATCTTAATTTTTTTTAATCCAGTACCTTTTGACATTATTTTTCGGCAGTACTAAAATCCATTATTTAGCTATCGTGTGATGTCGATATTTTACAGCTTGTCCAGTTTTTAGTATATGTTTAGTACGTTCCTTTTACTATATACGAGATGCACAACTTTATTAACGGTAACTTTATTGGCGTATAAGACTTTCTGTCTGGGCAGCGAGAATTAACTATGAACTGTGCTTCTGGGTGTACAGTTAATTTTCCCTCTATTTTTCCTCCACTTGACTTCAAAAGACACAAAACACACGTAATAACACGAATCAAAATGCATCATCTTCCAAAAATTAAATCATTTTGATTTTAGAAATGGCTTAAGTATTTTTGAAACTGGCTTATTGCAACTCCGGCAGTGCTAGAAAATCAACTTTCTAGAGCGATACATACCTTTGTGGTGGTACTTACGATGCCGACGCCGCCTTTTTGACTCTCCCAGGCCCATCACATTTATTTTCGTGAGATAGAGCCAGGCCAACCACTAATTAAAAGGCCCACCGTTTCGGCTCTATTTGTTGGGCCTCAGAAGGTCGCCGCGCCGATCCCGATATTCTCTTTTAATTATGGGTTGCGGATATTGTTTTAAAAATCCCTTTTATATATATTGGATCTCGGTGGGCCGACCAAAGGGAACGAAGGGAGAGGGGGTGGTGGATTTCAGGTTAAAATGTTTTTAATTTTTATTTGTGGGGGTCGAGGTGAAATAAATCGTTTGGCTTTTTTACTGTTTTTTTTTGTTTACGGACTGACGTGTGTGTTGGGGGTAATTATTCTTAAATGTTTTGATTGATTTTATAAAATTGCGTGTATATTAGATTTCAAAATAAAGGCGAAAACATTTAAAGCTTTATTTTAGGGGGGGGGGGGGAATTGTCAATTTTTTTGCTGACTACTTCTCAAAAATGTACAGCAACAGAGATTTTACACCGGAGGACTCATTACCTTCTGAAAACATCAATCTTTCACAATAATTGAACTTATCAATTTCATCAATTTATGAAAAGCTGTCAACATTGGACATAAACAAGGAGCACGGTCCCGATGGTCTTCCGTCGTATCTTGTTAAGCATTGTAGCTTCATATGTTCTAGACCACTTCATATCATTTTTAATAAATCCCTAAAACCAGGAATTTTTCCAATATATTGGAAATCAAGCTTCATTACCCCTATACTGAAATCTGGTGATAATTCCCAGGTTAGTAATTACAGGCCTATTAGAATTTTGAGTTGTATTCCCAAAGTATTTGAGAGTTTGGTATGTGACTACGTCTGCTTGTTTGAAAAATTGCTTTATAGACCAACAATTTGGATTCCTGCCACATCGCTCCACTGAGCTTAACTTGCTCACATATACTGATTTTCTCTTGGATTCATTGGAAGAAGGGTCCAACATCCATGCCATATACACAGATTTCACAAAGGCATTCGATAGGGTGAACCTCAAAATCCTTATTAAGAAGTTGCAGCATTTTGGAATCCAGGGACAACATTTGGTATGGTTGGCCTCATACCTCACGGATAGAGCGCAAATTGTGCGTGTTCAGAGCTTCCAGTCTAATTAGAATTAATTATTTAGAGTTCCATCTGGTGTTCCACAGGGTTCACATCTAGGACCTCTTCTCTTCAATATCTATGTGAATGGCATTGCCTCTTGCTTTCAACATGCATTTTTTCTGTTGTTCGCAGATGATCTGAAGTTTTACTTGAAGGTCCAAAGTGAAGATGATTGCTACAAACTTCAATCTGATCTAGATCACCTGTCAAAGTGGTGCAACCTTAATGGAATGGAACTTAACACAAACAAGTGTCAATTGGTTCACTCCTACTGCAGGTATCTCAAATAAAGGATCTGGGAGTGTTACTTGACAGCCAGCTGACTGACACATGTCACTTATCATCAATAGTGTCAAAATCACTTCAGATATTGGGATTTATCAAGCGTTGCACCAAGGACTTTCAAAGGATTCCCTCTATCAGACTACTGTTCTGCTCCCTGGTACGACCTAACCTGGATTACTGTTCCTGTGTGTGGTCTCCCTTTTATAACATCCATATTCAGGCCATTGAAAGAGTACAACACAAGTTCCTGAGGTATATAGCATTCAAGGAACGCAATGGGAACTAAAACGTCGACTACCAAGTTTTAGAAAATTCTCTCCAAATTACATCTCTCCAGGTTCGTCGTATGTACAGAGATCTTACAATGTTTTACAACCTATTGCACTCAAACTCCCATAGTTCTGGGCTTACTAGTAAGATTGGGCTTCATATGGCCAAACCTCTTTTCTCACAAGATCAGCAAGACTGGCGAACGACCTATCAGCTCAAGTGGACTGTTTTCATAGTCTGGCTTAAAAAAGAACTAAAAGACTGTCTGTAAACAATGTATGTGCTTTGTGATATTATCTTTAAATGTTGATGTTATTTTTTTACATTATATGTTTATAAATTTTACTGTTTGTTAGACTTTTAAATTTAATTAATAAAACTTTAACTTTGTGATATGTTAATGTTAGGTTTAGCTATTTTACTATTTTCTGTCACTGTAATTTTTTTATATTGGGCAATTATTGTCCGTTGATAAATAAAATAAATAAATAAATTTATGTCATATACTAAAATACCAAATCTCGTTTTTTTATCTGAAAAAATGACACAGGTGAACCACTTGTAAGACTCACCCGGTATTTGTTTTTTAAATGTCTTTCATCAAACATTAATTCAGGTATTAAAAGAACCTTCGCGAGTACTTTTTCCGTAGAAAAAAGGCGCTAGTAAATATAATAAAAAATAAAAATAATAAATAATTACATTAACATACTAATAATCAATTTCTAAGACAAAACAGGTTGCCGCACAAAAAACATACATCCACAGTCCCTAATTCCCTAAAATATACACGTGCCTTCCGTGTACCCCCGTAAAAACGTCACGCATCGTCATCTCGCACGCACACAACCTCCCCTCCAGCCTCCGCAACACCTCCATCCCTGCCCCTGCCGGCCTCCTTTGATCTGGGGGTTGCCCTGCCAACCCCCGAGGCGAACGGCTTCGGGCACAGTCGTCTCCTGCTCTCGGCACACTTTGGCCACGCCCACCGTCTATTAACGCGTCCGCGGTAAAAGCGGGTAGTTATTAGAGGTAGGCAGTTAGTTGCTTTAGCGGATCACTGTGTATTAGTACGGTACGCAAGTCACCCGGTACAAAAGAAAAATATTATTCAGCAAATTTTCAGTGATTTAGCGATAGTTCGTGGATTTTACAATGATGCAACTTGAGAATGGTACCCTACAGCACTGTAGTGGACCAGCGGCACCAAGTCAAGTAAGTTAAATCATTATTATAATTTTTTTTTGTATAATTATACTGTCGGCAGTGGCGCATCCAGAGATTGAGTCTGGGAGGGATAGTGGCAATATTTAAATAAAGTAATAGATTTAAGTTACATATTTTCGCTCAAAGGTATATGGAAAAAAAGATCGTTCCGGATTTCTATTTAATTGACATTATTAATTTATTTTGTGACAATTTTGTTTTATACCAGATTTTCTTATTTATAAATTTCTTCCTGGGACGGGTAATTACAGCCATTATACCCCTCCCGTATATGTTGTCCTATAATTCGGAAATACACTTAACGCAAATTATTTAGAACTTATACAGGATGTTTCAAAAAATATGCGCCATCTTTCCAGGGGAGATTCCACACGTAAAAATAACATTTATTTTTTATATCAACATCAGTCGGATTTTGCTTTGTTTCGTAGTTACAGGGTGTTAAATTCTTTTTTTTTATTTATTAAAATTTTCTTCCAAACGAAATTTTGAAGGTAAAATTTATTATAAGTGCTACATATTTTAATGCCAAAAAGTGTCGACATATTCACCAGGGACGTGCGTATGGGTTATCAATGGAATATTTTTCTAAAAAAACATGTGCGCCACTGACTTTTTTTGTTGTATCTACTTTCCACGGTCAGACATGACAGGTGTCTTGAAATTTAAATTTGACAGCAGTTTGAATTTTGTACAAATCTTATTGGTTCTTTGATACAACCTAGTTGTGAGAACTAGGCTTTAAATTTAAATGTTTTAAAAAAATTCTCGTTTTTGTTTAATATTACATTTAAATTTTCTTCTTTCATCGTTTGTAACATTTTCTGTGTTTTCTGGAATAGATATTTATTTCATTTATTCTTCTTTAGATAATACTGTTAATCTAATATTAATATTAGATATTAATTTTAATATATTATTATAAATAATTGTAGAACACTGTAAAAAAGTACCATGTTCGTGTTTGTTTTTTTTTATACATACAAAAAACAAAATATTTGAAGTTTTTACAAATTTTTATTCTTGATAAAAGTCTTTACATTCTTCAAATTCCAAATATACTAGTTTTTATTGATATACAAGGAAGTTGTAGGATTCGTTTAAAAATAAAAAAGTTGGTCTAATTTATAAAAAAATGCCAAGAAGTTTTTTTAATAAGTTGTTTAGATTGAAAATTAAATATGTAATGATAATTAAAATCAGAGCCATCTTCTGTGAATTTTTTACGGTTTTTGATTGTTTTTTTCTTTATTGAGGAATCTTGGTTTTGCTCTTTGTCTTGCAGGGTCCAGTCTTACGCAAGACTCATGCAAGTCGTGCAATTTTTTAATATACTTTTATACAGGGTTGTTCACCACATACGACGCGGAATATTGTAGCTAAACGATTAGAGTTTTACAAATTGTAAGTTTTGGGTTCGTTGAAGGATTATTAGAGCTACAATTTAAAAATATTTTTACAACATACAGAGTGTCCCGAATAAATAAAAAATATCAAAGTTGTATTTTTTTAAACGGAACACCCTGTATATTATTACACTTTTAGTTTCTACGATTAAAATAAAGGTAAATTTGATTAAGGTTTATTACACTTAAACCTTACCGTTTTTGAAATATTTTCAATTTTGTGAAATTGCAGTATAAATTTTAAGGCTTCATTTCTCCGAGGGTATCAAAGTTTTTAATAGTGAATATTTAATGAAGTTTATTTATTGATCAGATATTGTGTTGCAATTATAAATAAAATACTACTTTATACAGAGTGTCTAAATATTTATTTTAAATAATTATTAGCTTTAAACGGCAATAACTTTACGTTTAATTTAAATGGAACACCCTATATATTTTATGAGAATCAGATGCACAATTTAATTGTCTATCAAATTATTTTATACCATTTTTACCTATCTCTTCAAGTTTTCTTAGAAAATGCATTTTCTTGTAATTTAGAACGCATTTATCAATATACCCATGGAATACTGACATTTTAGATAATTTTTAAAGAGTACAGATTCTAATATTGTTGTTCGTTTTTTTCATTAAAAAATTATTTTTTTTTGTTTTAATATGATTCCAGTATTCAAACTACATTGACTGTTTGTGTTGATTAATAATAACTATTGCTCCAAATACTAAAAAACTGAATTATGTATGTGTATTAGACAGTGTAGTAAAAAACTAACACCTTAAAAATTATATTTCATTTTTTGACAAATGCTTATTTCTAACAACAGAGACGTTCATTTTCAAAACTTATTATTATATTGATTTCTGATTCAAATCCACATTTATTTAGAATAATTTATTAATGAACACAATTAAGTATTTACCGATTATAATTACGTCTATTAAGTATAACAAAATTTTTTGGTTTATTTGTCTGTAAAAATAGAAAAGTTATAGGGGTGAGCCACTATAATATATATATAGTATATATTTATAATTTAATATTTTAGAGACCAGTATTTTAATACGGAATTTTGGTTTTTATGTTGTTAAAGGTATTTCTCTTGCAAATACGTTGTAAAAACATATTTGTCATTTTTTTATCATTTTTGATAAAAAAAATTAAATATAATTTGAATCAGCATTGGCAACATAGATAGTAGATTAAATTTAAAAGAAAGAAAATCCAGAAAAGATCCAGTGGTACTTTTTTCCAAAATAAAATTACTCGATTTTTTTGGATTTATTTGAAAAATGACACAGAAAATATGTTTCTTTTATCGAGACCTACGAGTCCTGAAAATACGTGCACTAATTTTAGACTCACCCTGTATAAAATTATATGGTGAATGACACTGAACGTTAAATATTTGTTTCGCATCTTTCTCCATATATTTTGATGAGAAACCATCCCCTAAAATTTGGCCGTTGATTTTTTAACACACTGTATAGTATTAAATAGAATTGATAGTAAAAATCGTAACACATTTAGGAAAAAAATAGAATAAAGAAACTCTTCAAATTGCTAAATTTAGTATTCAATTTTGTAGTTATCTGTTTTATTAATAAAAAAACACAGCTATTTCCCCCCAAAAATACAAACTTTTTTTTTATTCCAGGTGTCGTCCTTCGATCTATTGGGATCACATTGCAGCTCAATGTACGGCACTAGGTACGCCCCTCACACGCAGCTATCACCTGCCAGCACATCTTCATGCGGCAGCGACGGTTACGCCGCCCAAGTAACGATGGAAACAGCCAGGGCTACTCTGGATTACAATCCCTACACGGGCTCTTACAGGCATCCGGTATACAAAAACCTCTGGTTCCCCCATTCGCCACCGACATCCGACGCGGTGTCTAATGGTTTCCAGCCTCAACCAAACCAGGCATACCCACCATGGCCTCACCATCAGCCCACCTACATGAGTACGTTTGGTGCGATGAACATGCTTAAACCTGGAGTGGCTGAGTTTTCCAGTAGGGGAAGACGATGTATCAAATGTCAATGTCCAAACTGTGCTGCCGAAGACAATGGAATTAAACAGCCTGCGGGCAAGAAAATACATAATTGCCATTATCCAGGATGTGGTAAGGAGTACGGAAAAACATCCCACTTGCAGGCTCACCTAAGATGGCATACTGGAGAGAGGCCGTTTCCTTGTCACTGGATTTTATGTGGAAAAAGGTTTACTAGATCTGATGAATTGCAGCGGCATTTGAGGACACATACTGGCGAAAACGATTCGCTTGTTCTGTCTGCGGAAAAAAGATTTATGCGATCAGACCATCTCGCGAAGCATGCCAAAACACATTCGAAAAAAAATGAGGAAGTTGCTAAACCAAATGCATCAGATAATTCTTGCAATAATGCCAACAATCCCACGCAACCTGTGCAACAAGTACCTTCCAGAGATGTTCCTGCGCAAGTTACTTCAAATTATTCAGTTCAAATGAGCAATAGTGGATTAGGTGTTGCGAATGTGAGCCAGAATCTGAATTATACGCCTACGATGGTTCCGGGTATCACGCAATATTACAGTCTTCCCCCAAGCCAAAGTTATCCCATGGAATATGGGTATTAAGTGCCTTTATTAGTCGACTCTATAGCCTGCCTCTCAAAACCAAAGAAATATAGAGGCCTCTCAAATTAAAACAAAACAATAAGTTGAAAAGATTCATTTAAAACTGTATATAAATATTTTTTTAATAGAAATACCTCTTGAATGGACACTCATGGACAAAACTGTAGAATTTTTTAGGGTATACTATGTTACAGATGCTACCAGCGATGGCTACCCGTCTCAAGCCACCATGGAGACAGCCAGAGTCACTATGGATTACAATGTACGGCCTCAGATATGCTCCCCATATGCAGCTGTCATCAGCTAGTATAGCTGAGCAGCAATAGCTACGCGGCTCAAGTAACCATGCAGGGATGCCAGAGCCAATTTGCATTACGACCACTTTACTAAATTCTACAGCCACATATCCTACCTAAACTTCTGGTTCCGGTATTCGCATCCAGCAGCTATACCTATAGCGTCTTCAAGCCGCAACCGTACAATAAGTGTTTTGGTTTGGTTTGGTTTGGAGCTGCTAGATGCCATGTCAACTGCTGGAGGTGAAGGCGGGAACCAGAAGTTTACGTAGGATATGTGCCTGTAGAAGTTAGTAAAAGGGTTGTAATGCAGATTAGCTCTTGCCTATTGAATGGTCACTTGAGCCGCGTAGCCATTGCTGCTAAATGAAGCTGCAGTAGCTGGTGACAGCTGCATATGGGGAGCCGTACATTGTAGTCAATAGTGAGACTGGCTGTCTTCATGGTGGCTTGAGACGGGTAACTATTGCTGCCCCATGAATCGGTACTAGTTGGTGACAGTTGCATATGAGATGTGCCCTTCGCGGACTCATCGTCAGCCTAGCTATTTCAGTACGTACATGCTTAAGCCCATTAGCGTAACTAGCAATTCATCCTGGGGGGGGGGGCTAGGGATTTTGTATTTTAAAAAATGAAGAATAATATCATTAAAAATAAATACATTTTTTGAATAAAATGTTTACATGAATTTCTCTATCAATAAATTTGATAGACTTGGTTATATCAAGGTTATATCAATCCGTGTTCTCGTGGATTATTTAAATACCTACAAATTTTGTAAAAAATAAAAACTAAGACACATTTCTTAAATACAGAAAATAATATTAACTAAATAAAAATGAAAAATAATATTTAGCCAAGAGTCATTGTTCAGTCAAAATTCAAGATTTCTCTGGGAGGAGCCTGGTACCTAAGGTGGCCTGGCACCCCTGTAGTTACGCCAATGCTTAAGCCTGGGGTCGCTGAGTTTTCTAGAGGGAGGAGGAGTATTAAATGCCAGTATCCCTACTGTATCACTGAGCCACTGGATCTGTGTGGAAGATTCACCAGATCTGATGAACTACAGAGGCATTAACGGACCCAGACAGACAACGATTCGTTTGCTAGGTTTGGCAAGATTATGCGATCGGATTTTCTGAAACATGCCAAAACGTTATTCGAAAATGACGAAGCTACTTAAACCAAAAGCTGATAGCTTCGACGATTAGCCGCCACCGTCTCGTAACGTGCGTTTAGTTGAGCGTTTCCAGAGACGTACCTGTGCAAATTGCTTCAACTTATTCGAATAAATTGATATAATTTGAACAGGTACGTCTCTGGAAGGCGCCCGAACAAACGCATGTTCCTCTTCAGACGGTGGCGTTGTATTGGTCGAAGCATTATCTGTCTTTGGTTTAGTAGCTTCGTCATTTTTTTCGAATAGGGTTTTGGCATGTTTCGAGAGATGGTCCGATCGCATAAACCTTTTGCCGCAGACACTACAAACGAATCGTTTGTCTCCTATCCGGGTCCGGAAATGCCTCTGTAATTCATCAGATCTGGTGAATCTTTTTCTACACAAGATCCAATGGCATGGGAATGGTCGCTCTCCAGTATGCCATCTCAGATGTCTTTCCACATTCCTTGTGGATCCCAATTATGGATTTTCTTTCCCGCAGGTTGTTTAATTCCGTTTTCTTCAGCGATACAGTTGGGGCACTGGCATTTAATACTTATCTTCTCCCTCTATTAGAAAACTCGGCTACCCCAGGCTTAAGCACGTAAGCCCTAACCATGAGTCCGCGAAGGGTACATCCCATATGCAGCTGTCACCAGCTAGTACCGCTTCGTGGAGATAGCCAGAGTCCCTATGGATGATAATGTATGGCCTCATATACGCTCCCCATAGACAGCTGTCACAAAAAACATTTAAGTTTCAGATTAGTATTCTCAATTTTTTCAAAATTTTTTCTCAAAATTCACTATTTTTTTTCATTTTAAAGCCTTAAACTTTTCAAAATTCTACTGTTTTTGTTAATAAATGTTTAAATGACTAGATTTCTAAAATAAAATTATGAAAATTAACAAAAATCTATAACTTTGTCCATGAGTATAATATATTTTAATATTAAAATGAAAGAAAAAAGGGGTATCGATAAATCGTGCTTTCCTAATATTTTTTATATAATTTTTTATATAATAAAAAAATGTGCCTTAATTTTTTACCATAAACGTTGTACAAAAAACTGATTGGATCATCATCAGTGGCGCAACTACTGATTGGTGTTGGTCGATATTTGTTTTATCCAGTCTAATTGTCAAAAGTTGTCAAAAACCTCGGTGAATATAGTTGCGCTACTGATTGTCACATTGAAAGTATTTTCAAGACAGCCCCGGATCTACAATTTGTTTGAACCGAGGCAAAAAATCGATAGTAGCGCCCCCTCTCTCCAGCGTTTGCAATAAATTAATTAAAAAAACTTACAAATATCTAGATATAGGTAGGCATTTTTCGTAAACGGGACAGAATGAGCCCTTAAGCTTCATTCAGAGCCTCCGAATTAGTGGAATAATTTAATGGTTTCAATTAGCGTAGAAGTTTGTTCCTTTAAGTTCATTGTAAGCATTCAGTACGTTTAAATTAGTGGTAGTCATTTTCAATTAGTAGAAAAAGTAAACAAACTTTTGACTTTTCCACTAATTATACTTCAAATTTTGCATTTTGTCCATTGATTAGCATCCGTCAAGAGAAATCGTGGTTAGAAATCAAAAGTTTGGTTTGGTTATTGTTTTATAAGCTAAATATTTGGCTTTCTTTATGGATAAAACTGACACTCTGTTGCTAGGATATTTTATTAATTTTAATTGTGTTTTTTAAACATTGTGAATGATCGTAAACTAAAAAGTGTAGTTAATTGAAACCGCTAATTTATTCCACTAATTGCGAGGTTCTGAATGAAACTTTAGAATGTGTTCAGAAACTTACTGGGTGTTTTAAAATTAAATGAATACTTGATAGAAGAACGTAAGGTGCATACTAGGCGCTTTGTGGAGCAATTTTTTTGATTTTCAACCATATTATATTATGATTTTGGCGCCCCATGACACTGGCGCCCGGGCAGTTGCCCCGGTTTGCCCCCTTAGATCCGGGGCTGTTTCAAGTACCAATTAGTGTTAAATTAATATAGATTTTATAGTATTTATTGTATACACTGTGATATTTCCTATTATGTATAATATGTATATTTTATGTATATTTTGTAGTATGTGATATATATATATATTTTTAATTAAAACAATTTTTGTTTTCTAATCTTCGAGTATTTATTCTGTCTACCTTGTACCTTATTAATTTTAAGAAAATAATAATAAATATACAGGGTTGTTCTACATACGACACGGAGTATTATAGCTAAACGATGAGATTTTTACAAATTGTAAGTTTTGGGTTCGATGAAGGACTCTTAGAGGCCAATTTAAAAATACTTTTACAAGATACAGAGTGTCCCAAATAGTAAAAATATCAAAGTTTTATTTTTTATGGAACACCCATATTATTACATTTTTAGTTTCTACGATTAAAATAAAGGTAAATTTGATTAAGGTTTATTATACTTACCTACCGTTTTTGAAATATTTTTCAATTGTGAAATTACAGTATAAATTTTAAGTTTTTCTCCAAGGGTATCAAAGTTTTTAATACTAAATATTTACTGAAGTTTATTTACTGATCAGTTATCGTGTTGCAATAATAAAAATAATACTACCTTATACAGAGTGTCTAAAAATCTATTTTAAATAATTATTAAAACGGCAATAACTTGTTTAATTTAAATGGAACACCCTGTATATTTTACGAGAATCAGATGAACAATTTAATTGTCTATCAAATTATATTATACCATTTTTTACCTATCTCTTTAAGTTTCCGTAGAAAATGCATTTTCTTGTAATTCAGAACTTATTTATCAATATACCCATGGACTATTGACATTTTAGATTATTTTTAAAGATGTTCCAAATTTTTAATGAGTACAGATACTAATATTGTCGATATAATTCGTTTATTTCATTAAAAAATAAAAAAAAACTGTTTAAATATTTGTTAAAGAGGATCAATTAATATGATTCCAGTATTCAAACTACATTAACTGACTGTTTGCGTTGATTAATAATAATTGCTCCAAATACTAAAAAACTGAATTTTGTATGGGCATTAGACAGTGTGATAAAAAGTAACACCTTAAAAGTGATATTTCATTTTTTAATAAATGCTTATTTATAACAACAGAGACTTTAATTTGTTAACTTATTATTATATTGATTTCTGACTCAAATCCACATTTATTTATAATAATTTATTAACGAACACAATTAAGTATGTAATTAATTAGAATATGGGCGGAAATAATGGTGTTATATTTAATTAATGGTATACTCTTTATAAAGATTTAAATAGTTTTCTTTTTGCATACAATGGGTTAGTAATATTATCGTTTTGCTAAAACGATAATATTACTAGTCTGTACATTTTGTACATTTGTTGCTTTAAAAACAATCTAAAATGTCAATATTCCATGGATATATTGAGGTCTAAATTATAAGAAAATGCATTTTCTACGAAAACTTGAAGGGATAGGTAAAAAATGGTATAATACAATTTGATAGACAATTTAATTGTGCATCTGATTCTCCTAAAATATACAGGGCATTCCATTTAAATTAAAGAAGTTATTGCCGTTTGAAGCTAATAATTATTTAAAATAAATTTTTAGACACTCGGTATAAGGTAGTATTATTTTTATTATTGCAACACAATAACTGATCAATAAATAAACATCATTAAATATTTAGTATTAAAAACATTGATACCCTTGGAGAAATGAAGCTTTAAAATTTTTACTGCAATTTCACAAAATTGAGAATATTTCAAAAACGGTAACATTTAAGTATAATAAACCTTAATCAAATTTACCTTTATTTTAATCGTAGAAACTAAAAATGTAATAATATACAGGGTGTTCCATTTAAAA